TAAAACACACATATGTAAGTTAATATAGTCTTACGGTTATTTTCTCCTTTTTCAGCATTTTGTGTTTTATATGTATAGATGTGTTTTATATATGTATAAATATATTTTCTCTTCATAAATTAAACGTAGAAAACGGTTTATCAGTCGGTACTCATTAAATAACTTCTTTATTAAATATCTACAAAAATAACATAATAATTCAACAACTTACTTTTTATTACGTCATTTTATATCACGTGAATATAGTATTATTTGTGATGATTATTTATGTATTGAATGCATCCATTATCATTAATTGTATAATATATAAATAATAACATGGAATACAACGTGACAAAAGAATTAGATATGCAAGCATTGCAGGAAGAAATTTTACGTAAGTGTAGAAAAAAAACGGAATCTTTAATTCTTCCTGATGAAATGGAAAACAATAAAAAACATAAAGAAGAAGATTTATATGAGGAAGATATAACCTCGATAGAAACTGAAAGAACTACGAACGAAGAATTACCATTCGAAGATATATTGGCTGAAAAACGCCGTAAATATACGACTAAACAAGAGTTTATCTATTCATTGTACAACAACATACTTCCAGCTTTTGTAGCCGAGTATATTTTATATAATGCAATATAATACAACTAAAAACTATTATTACATTATTAATTCATTTTGGTCAATACAGATGGGACGGATATTTTTTGCGAAAGAAACGGTTTGCAAAAAGATTTAGTCAGGACGATGTTGAAACTATAGAGAAAAATAAAGAAATCGATGATTACAACAAAAATGATGATTCGTTCATAGAAAAACAAGAGGAAAAGGATAAGATAAAAATAACCGTTCCATCATGGAAGATTTCACTGCCGGATGAATTTGCAAACATAAAGTTTTACAACAATAATTCTTATTGCGGTCGTATTAGCAAGAAAATGATGGAAGGTGAAGGAACCTATACATGGCATAATGGCGTTCAATATAAGGTATTGTTAAATATACTTGGATCATAATTAAAACACAACATGAATAAAAACAAGAAAACTTATAATTTGTATTCAAAATACTCTTATAACGATGTTAGCGTGCATTTAGAATACAGTTTATATTATATATACTAAATATTATATATTAAAAAAAAATTTTAGAAATAAAAGAACACATCTATCTCATTGAATAGAAGCGTGTTCTAAATACGGAATTATATGTATAATTAATAGATAAATATATCATAACACACACGCACACATATAATAGAATATATATTTAATTTAATTATAATATTTTTAAATATGTCGACATGCGGATTTCAAAATTAATTCAATTATTAAGAAATATAATTTCTTGCTCTCTATGATAGTATATTTGAATTAGCAAGAATCAATCTGATTAAATACGAAAATACATTCAGTCAAAGTAGGATCTTGTGCTTAAATATTTTCTTGTATGAATTTATATACATATCTGATTCTGCATATTGCGAAATCTTTTTCGGTCTTGAAACGCCATGAGCAGAATCAGAGTAATAATGTCACTTTATTAAACTGACAAGTAATTTAATAATTTTTGATGCTAATAAGTATCTAGTAAAAATATTCTTTATTTGATATTAATAATCATCTGAAAATTAAACTGTTATTAATTTTAGCAAGAATAAATTTAAAAAATTATACAGGGCCAATTCGAACAAAATAAAATTCAGGGGAAAGGTCTCCTGAAGTGGAGCAATAATTGTTGGTATGAAGGCGACTTTGTAGATGGTCTTCGACATGGCAAAGGCATCCTGGTGGACAGAGCAAACAATCGTATATACGTTGGTCAGTGGTGTATGGGCCACATGTGTGGAAAGGGGTACAATGTTGAGGCATAAATATTTATCACATGATAATATTTAAGGATGTTTTTATACACTGCCGTTGAAAAGTTTCCGAACGTTGAACTTAAAATTCATTAAAAGCATAATATTCAGATCACCGTGACTCAGTAAACAATCATCGCAGACAAAAAAATAAAAAAGCGTTTTAAAGCTTGAAACTTATACGTTAGCATGCTTTTGACCGCTTTTCAAAAAAATTTTATCTTTACAGTTCTATATCTTAACAAATATCACGTTGTTGTATTTCTTAAAATTACGTACATTTAACAGTGCGCAGTTTGATAAAGTTTTTTTTTTTTTTTCAAAAAGTTCAATATTTTTGAAAAACAGTACAAAAATTTACCTCCAAAATGCTTTTTTAAAAATTTTCTTATAATTTTTCTTGACTGAATTACGCAACATTGAAGCTAAACCTGCATTTGTTAAATAACTAATGATGAAATTTGGTAAAAAATCATCACAAAAACTTTTTATCTTCTCAATTCTGTAGAATCAAATTTAAAAACAATCAGAAGCTTGTTAAAGTATAAACTTCGAGCTTCAAAATGCTTCTTTAATTTTTTACGATGGTATTTCACCGAATTTTAATGTTGGTTGTGAGCTATGCACGTTTAACTTCAATGACACGTAATTCAGTAAAAAAAATCATAAGAAAATTTTTAAAAAAGCATTTTGGAGGTAAATTTTTGTACTGATGTTTTTTTTAAAAATATTGAACTTTTCGAAAAAAAACTTTATCAAACTGCGCATTGTTAAATGTATGTAATTTTAAAAAATTATATGATATTTGTTAAGATACAAAACTGTAAAGACAAATTTTTTTTGAAAAGCGGTCAAAAGCATGCTAAAGTATAAGTTTCAAGTTTTAAAATGCTTCTTTATTTTTTGTCTGCGATGATTTTTTACCGAGTTACGGTGACTTGAATATTATGCAATTTTAAGTTCTATATCCGGAAACTTTTCGACGGCAGCGTACATATTTTCAAAACGATGACAAAATTATGAAAAAATTACAAATTATTCTAAATCACGTTTAAAAATAATACGACAAATTTGGTGACGGTTTACTATTTGGTAGTAAGTTGTTTTAATAAATAATAGTATTTTTTTAATCTGTACTCTAATAAAAATATATGGAAATGTATTATAAAATAAATGATAAAAATTTCAATTTTTTAATATAAGTACATTATGTATTCAAGATTATTTATGTAGAGTTACATTGCAATGCATGAACTAGTTGTCCAATATAAAATTAACAAAATATTTATTTGTTCTATACAGGGTGACCCATTTTAACAACCCACGTAACTGCACCTTAAGTGTTCAGCAAACGAGAATGGATTGAAATGGATTGAAATGGATTTAGATTTTCAGAAATATAGATTCACGGATGTTAAAATGAATGCTTTTCAATCCTGAATGCATTTTTATTCATTTATAATATCTCTATGCCTTTCAATCTAAAAACAATATCAGTTTTTTCTGTGCATTGTGAATTGCATCTAATTTAATCTAATTGAATCCAATTGAATCGAATTAAATCCAAAAAAAAGTATTCGCTATTTAAAATACGCATTCGGATAGAAAAAAATTTCAATCCATTTTAATCCATTCTCGTTTACTGGGTACTTATATAATACATATAATGTGATTAATTAATCAAAATATTTGGCAATATAAATGACTTTAAATTTATTTCAATAAGTTTATAATCTGTAAACAGATTACATTTTGCTATTTCAGAGCTATCTCAGAAATATTGCAGACATTTCGAAATTTTTATGAAATGTTTGACTTTTTAGTTGAAATATTTCTAAGATATTTCTGAAACTTTCAGTTCTGTATGAGTAGGAACTATGATAGGAGCATGTTGAAGCATGTTGGAGCATGCGACACGAACAAACCTTTAAGTTTTCATCGAGGGTTGGAGAATCGGGTCAGAGTCGGGTTAGAGTTTGACTCCTGCACCGGACGTGGAAAAGCTTACCGCGCGGCAAAATGCGACCAATAAACATATTAGGAGCTGTTTGGCTTATTGGCTACCGCGTCACATTTTGCCGCGCGGCAAGCATTTCCGCGTCCAGTATGCAGGAACCTTTTGAAATCAGGTGAAAATTACAATAGTGAGCAAATTCACTAGTTATTGACCAACTAAATTATGAGAATTCTAGTGAATTTGCTCACTTTTGTAATTTTTATCT